GGTTTCTTGATTCCCATAGAGGCCACGTAGCATTCTTTGGCAGCAACTTGGTTTTCTCTGACTTCTCTAATCCCACAGAGGGTTGGGAAATGAATAACAATGTGATAGGCGGAAGGCACTGCCCTTAGGGTGTTGAGTGCGAGGAGACCAACTATGATATTGTAGGTAGAAGGATAGTCCAATACAATGAAGTTCACTATGATGGTAGAGCTTCTTGGCACTGTTCTTACGGTGACTGGCAGAGTGATGGAACCCAAGGGATAAACCCTCTCCCCTAAGAATCCAACAATGGGTGTCCTGATGGCCTGTAATCACTCCCTGCCGAGGTGGAGGCTGTCATAGGCTAATGGGAACAAGATATCTGTTGAAATGTCATTGTCGACCAAAATTCTCTTAACCTGGAAGTTGACTACCGTCATGGTTAAGAAGAGGGGATCATCTTGAGGGAGCTAGATTCCCTCGAGATCCCTATCTGAGAAGGTGATGATCTCATATTTCCCATGTCAGGGTGTCTTTGTCGGGCGAGATTCATGCACCTTTGCCTGTCTGGCTTTCTTGGCAAAGTTAGAGTCGCTTCCCCCTCCTCCTACCCTCCGGAGATTGTCTGGATTTCTCTAAGGGGTTATTGGCGTTCTCTATCACCCTAACACCGGCCAGGTAACGGGATTTGTCCTCTACCAGTAACGTACTACCTCAGCTGGCCACGCTGTATGAGCTCTTCGATCTGCCTCTTGAGCTCATAATAGTCATCAATATCGTGACCATGATAGCATTGAAAATAACAATACTTGCTTGGGTTTTTACGATTCGGGGTGGACTTCATTTTTTCGGGCTAATGAAGCATGGGGTCATCTTGTATCTGGAACAAGATGTGCACCACCGAGACGTTGAGTGGCATGAAAGGTTGTCATTCTCTTTGGGGTACTAGACCAAGACGGTCTTTGACAAAGACTCTCTCGATTCTTTGTCTCTTGCTCTCTGTCTCCCCTTGTCTTCACGGGTGTCCTTCATTTTCTCTCTTCTTCGAGAAGACTCATCTCGATGGACTTTGGTGACATCCTCAACGTTTATGTACTTCTGTGCCCCTGACAGCAGCTCAGGCATGCTGGAGGGCGGCTTCTTGATGACGGAGAACATGAAGTTAAAAGAGCACATACCAGCAATAAAGGTGGTCAGAGCTACCTTGTCTTCTGGCTCCTCGATCTGGAGAGCTTCCTCATTGAAATGAGTGAGGTAGCTCCTAAGGCTTTCATCACAGTCCTGCTTGATGGTGAGTAGGTGGGTAACAGGCTTTTGATGTCGGCATTCCCCAATGAAGTAGGAGACGAAAGATTTACTCAGCTCCGCGAAGGAGTGGATAGAAGAGGGTTTGATCTTCGTGAACTATTGTCGAGTAGACCCTTTCAAAGTGGTGGAGAAGGCTCTACACATAATCTCATCAGGCACGTTATGGAGTTGCATGAAAGATTTATAGGTGTCAAGATGATCCAGGGGATCCTTAGTACTGTCGAAGATCTCGATGGCAGGCATCTTAAGCTTCAAGGGTAGGAGGTAATTGACGATGTCTGTAACAAACGGGGTGTCAGTGCACCTTACCAGGTAATTCGCCATTTTGGAGGCTTGTGCCTTGATGGCGTTGAGGGTGTCACCGAGTTAGTTTTGCACCTCTTTAATTTTCTTGTTCCATTGGTCGGAGACATCCTCTATCGGGTTGTTGTAATGGCTTCCATGATCGACATATTATTTTCTCCTTCATCCTCTTGCACTGGTACATGAGGAGGGGGAACATGTGAGCTTCCTTCACATTGAGGAGGGACTATTGGGTGAAGGGCCCCATGGTGGGGGGTTGCTTGGCGCCCAGAATGGATAGGTTGTTGTGCTTCTCCCGTTGGAGGGAGTGGTATTCCTCCTACAAGGCTGAGGGGCGATGCCTCCCTTGGCAAACATCAACTAAATGATTTGTTGGTTCTGGTTTACCAGTAGTAGCATAGTCTGTAGAAACTATTGTCCGACGATGGGAGTCGTTGTAGCAGATGGTTCCGAGGGTGCGAGGGGAGGCGGAGCCCCCTTCTGGGGGGCCGGGTTATTGTTTCCCGGTTGTTGACTTATCGACCTGGTCGTGATTACCATGAAGTAGTAAGGTAGTAGAAAACTTAGTCGATTCCCACAAATGGCGCCAAACTGTTTCTGCACAAAACTGTCTCGTGCAAAATCAACAGTCGAGTATGTGATAAGGTATAATTAATAGACAATTAATAAAGTAATCAATGGCAAAAAAATAATATTGGGTCAATACACAGATATATAGTGGTTCGGTCTGAATGACTTATTCCACTCCGAGAAACGGCTACAGTGGCTGGTGAACCTTTATTGATGAAATAAAGTAAGAGAGAGGGAGAGACAAGGCTAGCTCCAGGAGTGGTACAATCGCTAGGAGAGAGAAAGTGTGTAGAGAGGTATAGTGAGATCACTATGTCCTCTCATGTAGAGAGGACTTACAATTTATAGGCACAAAAACTTGGTTGAGGCGGTAACGTGAGGGTGAAGGTACTAGGTCTTCGGAGAGGATAGCTACAAAAGGTAAGTGCAATTAAGGTAGCCTTGATCTTCGAGGGTGTGTATCCCGATGATTTCTCTCCATGTGCTCTAATTCTTGTTGGACTCTTCGGACCTTGGGTTGGGTTGAATTTACGAACTGAGCTCGATCTGTCTTTTTGTTGATTTGGGTTAACTTCATTTATTGGGCCTGACTCAATTAGATTTGGGCTCATCAGAGGACCTACCTAAAGGTTATCTTTGGAAAATTATGGTCACTTCCAACTTCAATATAAGGCTTTATTTGTTTTGTTCAAATGGTCAGAGTGTTTGGTCCAACTTTCACACACCTCGACTATCTTCCCTAGTGATAGGCAAGTCATCTACGCTGGGACTAGAGTATTCATGAACGATAAATCCTTCGTGGTCTGGCCTCAATACGATTGTCAAGATTTATATTCAGAATATCTAAGCAACACATGACACCTACACCTTTATTTGGGCACAAATAAGGTCATCTGCATTACAGTCGGCATAAAAAGAATTGATTTCCACACGTTTAATGATTTCAATTTTCTTCCTCCACCTTCTTCCTGGAATGTAATTGCCTTCCAACCCACAAGAATAGAAAATATTTCTGGCTCCAATGATACACTTCAAAAAGATAAATGCCCTTCATTCCAATCCAGCCATTTTTCTTCTTAGCGAACTTCTGAAAAATAATAAATCTAATGAGACAATAAACTTGAACAATTACAATAATTGTTTATCAAGCAACCGTATGCATATCATGACCAGGTATTACTCGCAGACTAATATGTTGCATGGAAAACACCAACCTTTTTCAGCATATGTTCTTCAATTGAACAACAGGAGCTACTATCGTTTCAAGCCTCCAAGAGAGCGTTTTTTTTTTTAGCGTACACTGTGTGGTAGATAAAGTGACTGAATAATGTCATTTTACTGCTGCCGTGTTGCAATTTAGATAGTTGGCTTCTTGGAATCCTCATGAAATGCAAGCTTGGGTTTTGAAGAGATAGTTGTAGGGGTGTCCATTTGTGGTATACAAAAGCAACGCACTCAACCATTTTTACTCTATCTTCTTCTTCAGCAAGTCTGCACCAGTTCATTGTTGTGGCATGAGTGCGATGCTGTTGTGAATCAGAATTCGAAGACAAAATTTCAATTTAAATTCTGACATCAAAATGAAATCGAAATCGGAACACCACCGTTGGTGTCATTGCCAAAGACCTCTCTGCATTGTAACTACGCCTCCATCGCCGTTACTCCATTACCACTCTTTAATCTTTCTTTTATTCCTCACCAAACATACCAAAACCCAAATCACCCCATCACCAACAACACACTACCATCACCAACACTGACTAGTACCCAACACTAATTCACATAAAATCAAAACAGAAAAATCTAAGACTGATTTGAGTCCAACTCACTTTATTTGAAAAAATCAAAATAGAGGTGGTAATGGGCGACGACTGGTTGGAGAAGATGAAAAGGAAGAAAAGAAAAAGTATAGGTAGTTGCTGGTGGATATTGATAGTGAACTAAGGTAAATGAAAGAGATATGAAGAGGCGTCCAACGATGGTTAGATATAATGGGCTGGTTGTAGGAAAGAAAAGTGGAAGAAGAAAGGTGAGTATTTAAACTCATTTTGTATCTCATCATTTAAAGCAACGTTTTCAAAAATTAAATGAGTATGAGAAATAAGTTTGAAAGTGACTAGATTCAGATTAACATTTCGAGGAGAATGAATTTAATGAAAAACTCACGACCCTTCTAACTACAATTGTTTTTTTTTTGGTGGTTTAAAAATTATTTATACCAAATCAATTATTAAAAATAAATAAAATTCATTAAAAGAAATTATCCCAAATTTGTATTAAACATATTTGTAAATAGTAAAACATTAAATCAGGGCTCGATTCAAAGCATAGAGACCTAAAAGAAGAAAAAAGATTATTTAAACTTACTTTCAGAATTTAAATAATTACAACTGTTCAATTAAAAATTTATTTCACCTAACAACTAATCATAATTATAGAAACTCTCTGAGAACTCTTGCATCATTAAATAAATAAAAATATGTTAAAAATCTATTAATAAAAAATAAATAATAATATTATAAATATCTAATTTAAAGACTTAATTAGTGACCTAATTCATTGATGTCAAGTAAAGAAAGTATAGCTTGGTTTCCAAATTTGGGGCAACGGTAACAAAAAAGAAAAAGGAAACAAAATCAGAGATTTAAAACCAATGATCTCGTCAGAGAGACACAACCAACAACATATATATATAAAATCAGAAACTCAGCAGACGACATCGACCTCCTGAGTCCCAATTTACGAACCTCCACCTACGATCTATCTCCGTAAACCCTAAATTCCACCACCAGATGATCTCTCTCTCTCCTCTCTCCGAAAATATTCGGCATTGTAATGCAATGGAGTCGATGATCGAACTCTGCGATCTGATCGCACAAAATCCTTCGCAATTTGCTGATAAATTGGCTTGGATTTGGGGACGATGTCCACCAATTGACTCTGTACTCGCCACCGCTAGATTTCTTTCTAAATGCCCCAATTTCGACGACATGAGGCCCTAACCGGCAGTCCTAGGGTTTTTCAGGTCGATTCCGTGTTCTTTTGCCCAATCTTTTTGGCGACAGTCGTTTGTAAGCGATTCAATTGCTTCGTACGATTTCTTGAGTTACATGAATAAAGCCAGTGAGTTGTCCTCGGATTTTGCCATTGGCCGTTGCGGAGTATACGGGAGAGATTGTGATGTCGGCGGTTAACAATGTCAGTGGAGATTTGGGGGTTTCAAGGTTTTCTTGAATGCTCTGTCGCAGAATTTTCCTCCAATTCTTCCTTCCGATGCAAACAAATTAGTGTCCATTGTTCTAGATGGATTTGAAATTTCGGTTCCTAGTTCATCGAGGTGCTAGTTTCGACAACTCCTGAAGCGTAATCGTCTTTTTTGGGTCGATTCCGTATTCTATTGCCCAATCTTTTTTGCCACAGTCGTTTGGAAACGATTCAATCTTTTGATTTCCTGAGTTATGTGAATGAAGCCAGTGAGTTGTCCTCGGATTTTGCCATGGCCGTTGCGGAGTCTACGGGAGAGATTGTGATGTCGGCGATTAACAATGCCGCTGGAGATTTGGGGGTTTTTCTGTCGCAGAAGTTTCATCCAATTCTTCTTTCTAATGCAAACAGATTAGTGTCCACTCTTCTAGATCGATTTGAAATTTCGGTTCCTAGTTCACCGAGGGAGCTAGTATTGATAACACCTGAAGCGTCATCGCCTCAGTGTTCGCCACTCAGCCCCCAAATCTCCTCGTTTCCTGGATTTTGCCATTGGCCGTTGCGGAGTATACGGGAGAGATTGTGATGTCGGCGGTTAACAATGTCAGTGGAGATTTGGGGGTTTCAAGGTTTTCTTGAATGCTCTGTCGCAGAATTTTCCTCCAATTCTTCCTTCCGATGCAAACAAATTAGTGTCCACTGTTCTAGATGGATTTGAAATTTCGGTTCCTAGTTCATCGAGGAGCTAGTTTCGACAACTCCTGAAGCGTAATCGTCTTTTTTGGGTCGATTCCGTATTCTATTGCCCAATCTTTTTTGCCACAGTCGTTTGGAAACGATTCAATCTTTTGATTTCCTGAGTTATGTGAATGAAGCCAGTGAGTTGTCCTCGGATTTTGCCATGGCCGTTGCGGAGTCTACGGGAGAGATTGTGATGTCGGCGATTAACAATGCCGGTGGAGATTTGGGGGTTTTTCTGTTGCAGAATTTTCATCCAATTCTTCTTTCTAATGCAAGCAGATTAGTGTCCACTCTTCTAGATCGATTTGAAATTTCGGTTCCTAGTTCACCGAGGGAGCTAGTATTGATAACACCTGAAGCGTCATCGCCTCAGTGTTCGCCACTCGGCGCAAACCATTATCAATCAAATGAGAGAAACAGTCCAGGAAACGAGGTCAGCAATGCCTCTGGTTCTTCTAGCGGTGACCCTTCAAGGGTTACAGATGAGGCGACCAGTGCATTGTGGTCGAAAGGATTGGTGATGAAAGGGGGCAGCCTTGCGTGGAAGAGCAATGTGTATATATTTGGGGCTGATGTTGGGTTCAATGATGAAGGACGAGGCGGTTCCGCAACAAGCGAGTGGTAGCCTCTTTTGAGGAAGAGCCTGTGGAGAGACTTCAACAACAGGAGATTGCTTTCAAGCTGATTGGGCACATATTGGATAAAGTCCAGATTGATCTTAAGCTTTTGTAACAAATGAGGGCCATCGCAATTCGCAAAGGAGCAACTCCAATCACTGTTGGCTTTCCTAAAGGTAAAATTCATGGGTATCCATCCTTTTGGTTTCGAATTTTATTGATATCTTGATGAAATAACTATAGAGATGAATGAAAAAATCTGGTTAAAATGTTTGGGTTTTTTGGCAGATATGGAAGCGTGACTGGACGGAACTGGGGCAGTTACTGAAAGTTAGAATCAATACAGAGCTGTCGGTTTACCAAGCTGCAGCGGGGTTACAAATCAAGAGTCTTTCATCTGTTGATTTGAATGGGAAGTCATCGAAGAGGTTGTGCATTGTTGATAGAAGCTGTTGAAGCATGTTTATTCTGTGTCTGGCAAAAGTTGAGAATTTGTGATGAGCTCTTCAGCTCATTGCTTGTTGGGATTTCCTAAATTGCTCTCACTCGATGTGGTCAGCTGCTGCATGTCTTGCTCATTCGCTTCCAACCCCTCGTGATAAGTACTGTGCTCGGGTACATTATTTGTTTGCCTCCTACAGCTGGGGCGTATCTTGGTAACATGATTCTGCAATATGTTGCACTTTTTGGATAAACTTTCATTGTAATATATATATTTTTTCAGACAGGCAGAGACTTGGGGCAGATTTTCTAGGACCTCTACTTCTTGCTGTGGCTGAAATATGTTCAGATTTTGATCCTACTGTATATGTGGAACCTGCACTTTTGAAGCTATTTCGCAATTTGTGGTTCTATGTCACTCTCTTTGGGTTAGCACCTCCAATACAAAAAACTCTATATATGGTAAGTCAGTTTCCCATAATCTGAATAGTGTGGGGAGCATGGGTGCAATTGGTCTTCAATCTGAAAGTGTTATTTTATGAGTCTCTTTTGTCTGTATGTTTGTGCTTTAGTTTTTCTACTAGTCATTATTCAAGGCATAAAACTATTCTGCTGCCAATTACCTCTTTACAGTATTTTATGTCTTACATTTTTTGTGCCATAACTCAATGTGACAATTACTTGAATTTTTGTGTCAATTACTTGCTTATAGTATTTTATTTCTTAAATTTTTGTGCTATGATTCAATGTGTAATATTGCTTATTGAATGCAGTACCTTAAAGATGGAGGAAAAACCAACCTATTAAAATTTGGAAGGCTCATAAAGCGGCAGTCCAAGAGGTTGGTTTTTCTTTGGGTATTGTGTAGTATTGATTTTGCGGTATGATTTTTTTAGCGTTTTCTTTTCTCCTCTTCTCGTGAAGTTCTTAATTATTCTTAATTATCATCCTCGATCTTCATCCTTTGCTTAAGATTTCTTGCAGTTATCGAACTACAAAGGCACTGATGTTAAAACTTGAAGATCCTACACCATATTGCTTTGGATACGAATGAACAATGGCAGTTTTGTTTATGGTAATCCAGGTTTAAGTGACACAACTCTGCACATACTTTTGAAGAGCATACAGGTCAGCTCCTTGCATGTTTACATTTTTATTCTTTTTGAATATCTTTGAGTAGATGTTCTATTTTTTATTTTTAAATATTAATAATGTGTTTTCTTAACAATTGTGGTGGTTGTTTGAAAGTTTTCACTGGTAGTAATTATCGTATTTTAGATGATCTTTAAATTTGTAAGTTATGAAAAAAGAACACACTAGTTTTCAAACCCTAATTGACTTGGATGCAAAAATGAACATGTCTTGGTGGCATCTTGCATCACGACAGCTCATAAATTCAAAGTAACGCGATGTAGCTAAGGCGTTCGACAAAAGTCCAGACGCTATGTCCTAGGCTCTTGTTGTTATGTTTCTTCAGTTCAAAAGATGTCCGCTAAAGTCGTTTGGAAAAACCTCCATAAAACATATATAAGGGGAGGAGTTAGTTGAGGGGCACCAAGGGTCTGGCTAGCCTTGTGCCCACAAGCCTTGGCACCGTTAGGCAAAATATAAGTGTGTCTATGTTTCTTAGGTGTATTAGTGTATGAGTGTGTTTCTTTGGTGTATTAGTGTGTGTGGACGGAGCATATGTTTTGGGTTTTTTTTGAGGGTATATTAGTGTGTATTAACATGGTGTGTGGGTGTGCATACATATGCTGATTAGCTGGGTTGTGTGTGTGTTTTGGTTTAGGTGAAACGGAGAAGGATTCTCTTTTGCTGCTTTGGCTTCTTTTGAGAGAGGAAAAAGGCTCAGTTTAGCAACTGATTGTGGATTTTCCTTTTCTTTTGTGGCATCCCTGCAACCTTCTTTCTTTTTGATCTTCTTATACTACCCCCTTTTTTTGATCTATTGCGTCGACCTTTGCTTTTGGTTCCGGATCAACCCTTTTGTCCGACTCTTTTCCTTATACCAAAAAAAATATCATAAAACTATGAAAAATACCGGAAAACATTAATTTTATTATTTTATGATATGTTATTCTTAATGTTCCCCGGTATTTTTCATAGTTTTATGATATATTTTTTTGTATATTAATGAATTTTTTTATTAATGTGTGTTTTTTAGTGTATTAGTGCCTGTGTGCATTTGCGTTCGTGTAATAACGTGTGTTTATTGTATAATAGTGTCTATGTTTTTGGTGGATTAGCTTGTGTTAACATTACTTTGGATGGAATGTATGCATTTTTGTGATTTTAGATGGTGTATTAGTGTGTGGGTGTATGGTGTGTTTGTGTTTGTGTAATAGTGTGTTTTGGTATGTTGGTGTCTATGTTTTTTGATGTATTATGTGTATATTTTGGTGTATAAGTGTTTGTTAACACAACGTGCGTGGGTGTGTATTTATTAGTTTGTTTATGTGTGTTTGATTCAGTGGCGGTGTGCGAATATGCGTGTATTTGTGTAATAGTGTATGTACGTGTGTGTGCATCTTTGGTGTGTTAGTGTGTATTTTTTTGGTGTATTAGTGTTTGTATTAAGAGGAAGGTGTGTTTTCATTAGTGTAAGTGTATTCTTTTAATCAATGTGTTATTGTGTGCGTTTTTATGTGCACAATGTGTATTTATTTTTATCAGTTATTTTTGGTGTATAAGTTTTTATGTTTATTGCGTGTGGTTGTTGGCGTGTATGATATCTTTCTTATCTCGAGTGTTTTTGTGTTTTGATGTGTATAACGTGTTTGTGTGTGTGGTTATTACTCTATTTTTTTTATGTTATCGAAGTGTTTGTGTATGTGCCTCCTTATGTGTCTGTGTTTTGATTTTTATTATGTGTATCTTTGTTATTATGTGACTATTTTAAAGTTTTTGACTCTTTGGGAGGCTTACAAAGCAATAATCTACCAGTTATGAAGTTATCTTTAGGCAAGCTTTTTGCAGGTGAACATGATGTTGCTTAATTTAAGGTATGATTGTATAAGTTTTTTCATTCTCTTGTTTTACACTTGTCAAACTATAGTTTGGATAGGAATGACTGATATGAATTGTTGTTAATGATAATGCAAGTTCTAATGAACTTTGGAAGGGGAGGACGATTGCATACATTCATAGGGAATTCAAGTTTGTTTTCTTGCATGTCTACGTGGCTTTCTTTTGCATATATTTTAGTGCATACGGTAGTTTCTATTTAAAGTGTAATGATTTTTATTTTTCCTTAGTAATTGTTTGTGGGGGGCGATAGAAATATCATTTGGTCTTTCCCGTAATTGGTCTATTGTTCATCATTTAAGGTATGTGACTCCTATGTTGTCAATTCATTCCTTACAATTTTTTGTTCTTTAAAATTTTTATGCCATTTTACTATTGTGTAACGAGTTTAGATATTCCCTATTTATTGCAGTACATTAAGGCAATGGAAGAGATGCCAACTTGTTGAACTTTGGGAGAGACTTACAAGGCAACAATCTAAGCAATTATGAAGTTCCTCTTAGGTGAGTTTTCTATGGGTGAACATTATTTTTGCTTTTGATTTGAGGTATGATTGTGTAAACTTCTTTCTTACTTCTCTTTTTTTGTCGGTGATAATGCAAGTTCTAGTGATACAATTTTAAAGCTTTGGAAATAGAGGACATGTGTGCATACCTTCGTAGGTTGTACGGGTTTGTTTTCTTGCTTGTTTACGTGACTATTTTCTTTACATATATTTTATTGCGTAAGATAGTTTCTATTTAAAATACTTACAATTTATATTCTTCCTTACTTATTGTTTGTGGGGAGGGGAGGAAGGGAGGAGATAGAAATATGGTTTGGTCTTTGCTATAATTGGTCGACTTGTCATAATTTAAGGTATGTGGCTCCTCCGTTGCCAATTACTTCCTTACAAATTTTTGTTCCTTAAAATTTTCATACTGTTTAACTATTGTGGCACGAGGTTAGATATACTCTGTTGATTGCAGTACATTAAAACAATTGAGAAGACAATAACTTGTTGAACTTTGAAAGTCTTACAAGACAGCAATCTATGCAGTGATGAAGTTACCTTTAGGTGAGCTTTTTACTGGTGAACATTATTTTGTTTGATGTGAGGTATGATTGTGTTAGGTTTTTTCTTCTCTTTTTTGTCTTTAACCTTTAAATTCTTAAGTATCTTTTCTATGATCTCAACGACCAACTTATGTTCTTTGGTTTGGATTTCTCATAGTTATCAAACTATGTTTTGGATAGAAATGACCGATGTGAATTGTTGTCATTGGTAGTGCAAGTTCTAATGACACAATTTTATGGAAAGAGAGGACTTGTGTGCATACCTTCGTAGGGCATACTGGCTTGTTTTCTTTTCTGTCTACGTGACCATTTCTTTAGCATATACTTTAATGCATATGATAGTTTCTATTTATAATGCTTTTGATATATATTTTTCCTTAGTAATTGTTTGTTTGTGTTTTGGTTGGGGTTGGGGGGGTGGGGGGGGGGGGGAGGATTCATAAAAATATGGTTTGGTCTTTTATATAACCTATATATCATCATTTAAGGTTTATTATGACTCATCTGTTGCCAATTACTTCCTTACAATTTTTTATTCGTTAAAATTTTAATGTCTTTTAACTGTTGTGTCACAAGGTTTAATATTTTCTATTGATTACAATACATTAAGAAGGTGGAGGAGGGACTAACACGTTGAACATTGGGAGGCTTTCAAGGCAGTAATCTCCCAGTTATGAAGTTATCTAGTATGTGTATATATGTGTTGTTGAATAAGTGAGTGGACATGTGGCTCGTTCTTTTTTTTTCTTATTGCTCTTTGTTTCGAAGGTTTTTTTCATTTTTTTGTACATAATTTAATATGTTTTTCTTTCAGTTGTTTGTAAAATGGATGCTAACTTATGAAGGAATAAGGGGTTAAACTGGATTGAGATGCATTTGCAAAGCAAATTTAGCAGTGAAAAGATAAGTATATCAGTTTCTCCAGCTTCAATTGGCTTTTTTTTTTTGCAAATTGTATTTTACGGATGATTTTTTTTTCCTTTGTCTTTCTTACTTGTTATAATCATTCTTGTATAACAGATGTTAGATGCTCAGCATTCTCCTCCTTCTGATAACACTAACAACACCTACTTACCACAGGAATGCCAATTTGCTTAACTCTATCATCCAGAGGTAAAGCCTTCATTAAAATCTTCCAACCTACTAGCTGAGCACTAGGAGTAGGGGCAGTCTGAATATCCCAAATGCCAGCAGCAGTAGCATTCAAACCTCCCTTCAACCTACTCATCTGCTAAGCTGCTTTAACTGAGAAATTACCAGCACAAGAGCTCTGCCACACCAATTTA